GTAATAACTGGTGATGATGCAAATGAGATTGCTCGATTGAAATAGTTTCTACAAAAACATTTTCAGACCAAAGATCTAGAAAAGCTTTGATATGTTTTGGGTATTGAAGTTGCTAGGTCTCGGGCAGGTATCAATTTATCTCAAAGAAAATATGTACTTGGCTTGTTAGATGAGACAGGTTTTCTTGGAGCTCGTCCAGTTGATACCCCTATGGATCCTAATGTGAAGCTTTTGAAGGATGAAGGAGAATCATTTGTAAAACCAGGAAAATATCATCGTTTGGTTGGAAAATTGAATTATCTTATTATCACATGATTGGATATTTCTTATGCAGTCAGTATTGCTAGTCAGTTCTTGGATGCTCCTCAAGTTTCTCATTGGGAAGCCGTGATATGTATTATTTGGTATTTGAAAAAGGCTCCATGTCTTAGATTATTGTATAAACCAAATGGAAATATCGAAATAGAAGGATTTACAGATGTATATTGGGCAAGTTCTCTGTCAGATAGACGATCTACTACTGGATTCTGTACTTTTCTCGGTGGTAATTTTGTCTCTTGGAAAAGTAAGAAATAGACTGTAGTTGCAAGGTCAAGTGCAGAAGCGAAATATAGGATGATGGCTCATACTGCTAGTGAATTGACATGGTTGCAGCACTTTCTTCAAAAAATCAATCTTTCACCCTCTACTCCTATACCGATGTACTGTGATAATCAGGCTGCTTTACATATTGCATCCAATGCAGTTTTCCATGAAATGACCAAGGATATTGAAGTCGACTGTCACTTTATTCGGGATAAGATAGTATGTGGTGACATATGTACACCATTTGTGAAAATTGAAGACCAACTTGCTGATATGTTTACGAAATCATTGAACAGTAATTGGTTGAGATTTCTATGTTCCAAGCTGGGTTTATATGATATATATACTCCAACTTGAGGAGGAGTGTTAACGAAGAAAATCAATTAGGAATAATGTGTATTAGGCAAGAATATTATTTGGTATATTTAGGTTTCATATATGTACATGATTGATTCTCTATATAAATAAAAGGGAGAGGAGACGAAGAGTAGATTTTCCCTCTCAGTTTATGCAAAACTCGTCTATAGAAAAGTAATTTTTGTGTCAACTTGGGGCTAGTCAAATTGTGAAAATAGATAGACTAACTTGTTCTAATCCTCAAGTAGATGATCGTGGAATATTTGAACTCTTAAAACCAATTTTAGATAAATAAGAAATTATGGTCCAGTGTTGGAAGAAAAATGAGGAGAAAAAGGCCAAAATTCAACTAAGGTTGTCGCTCAAGCAAAACGCTAGCACTAGGCAAGCAAAAATTGTTTTGTTGAAAGGTGCCACTGGCGCTCAAGTGACTCGCCAGTGGCAGGCTAGCGACATCAAGGGGTGTGTCACTTCTTGAAGATTGTTGAGTTTTGTGACGTGTTTCTTCACTCATAATCTTTCATCCTCTATAAGTAAGACCCTTTGGACATCTTTTAACCTATCCTTATGATATGCAATCATAGCATAACATAAAACTCGTATTTTCTTAGCCAAAATTCTGAATAAAAATTTGGTTTTCATTTCATTTTGAAATTAGTACAAAAGTCATCTTTTGGTTCGTTGTTCTTGATTTTTGGAATGCTACAAACACAAGAAGGTAGTATTTGTATCTTGGGAGTTGATTGCTATCACCCATAGGCACCTTCGTAGGGCAAAGTCGACTTGAGGACAAAGGGTTCAACTCTTACTTCAACTTTGCATCCATTTTCTTGGTATTACTTTCACAATTTTTTGTTTGCATTTTAACTTCCACTTCTTTGATGTTTATTACTTCCTTGACGTTTCTCTATTCAAATTTGGTAAGGTTGGTAAGTTTAATTGTTAAGGAAGTCACTTAAATTCATTTGACAAACAACAGTTTCTACTTTCTAGTAAAAATCACTCCAAACAATTTAGATAACCGTAGAATCAATAAATATTCAACCAATCACCTCTACCAATTCAACTACCAACAAACAATTCTCAAACGTAAGAGAGTGGAGGGTTTTATCACAAGGAATATTTGGCTAATTTATAATCTAGTTCTACCAACACAAAATTTATCCTATTATACGATAATTCCCAAACCTCAGTGACAATCTGTGGTAACTATTTGCTCAATAATAAAATCCTACATGGATAAGCTGCAAGATATGAAAATAAGCACAAGTAGCATCATCAAGTCACAACTTAACACAAATTCTAGTATATTTCTCATTGTATTTGTTTCTCGAATCTTAATTTTTAACATAGGAAATTGTGTCAGATTATATCTTAGTTGTTCCTCAATGCGTTCTATGAATTGTTATCTAGTGAACACGTAAGTCGAAAGACTTTCGATCGACGTGATATTTATGTTTAACGAAGAGACACTCGAATTCAAAATTGATCTACAACGAATTTTATGGATTGTTACTTAGGTGTCTTTTATTTTATTTAAATAAAAAAATCAATTCTAAATATAAATATAAACAGAAAATGTGATTTAAAAATTAATATAATTTATGCACAGTTACTTTGTAACGACCATAAACATTTTCCAATCTTTCACTTTTACTCAGAGGTTACGTGCATTGTTAGCTTGCTTACTATCCTCTGGAGGTTGAGCCCTTCGAACCCAAGAACTTCCTTTGAGAGGAATTTAAGTTGAACGATGATACCAGCTGGATAAATTGCTCTATACGGAGCTCTAGACATTCTCTATTTTCTCTTCTCTACATCAGCTTGTTCCTTGCCAGCTTGCATTGGATATGAATTTTTTAAATACCGTCGATTTTAACTATGTGACACGATTTTTTAGCCATCAGTGGTTGTGTTGACAATGCTGACAACGAGACTACCATTTTGCATATCTTGTAATCTTCTTGAGATTGTACTTATAACATTTTTTTTATCTCCTCACCTTAGCAATAGTGCATATCTTGCAATCTTCTTGAAGTTTTGCTAATTACCATTTTTTTTCATCTCTCAGAGTTAGCGTTGGTGGACATCTTATAATCTTCTTGAGATTTTGCTAAGTTCATTTTCTATCTCCTAGGATTAGCATTAATATATATTTTGTAATGTTCTAGATATTATGCTAATTGCATTTTCATGTCCTCATATTAGCATTAGCATATATCTTGTAATGTTCTTGAGATTGTGCTAATTAAAATTTCTCTCTCCTCATATTAGTATTGTGCATATCTTATTTCTTGAGTAAGCTCAATATACTTTCTTTTATTCTATAGCGAGGCTGCGAGGATCTTCACCACTTCAAACGGGTGAATGTTTCATTGTTATTTAATTAACATATAAGCATATTTGTATATTAGTCCTTGCTTGAGCCACATTCCTCTAAAAATTCATTTTCAACCACATCATCTTTAATAAAATAATTATACATGTAAATTCAAAAAAAAAACATCATCTTTAATAAAATAATTATACATGTAAATTAAAAAAAAAAGTTCCTTAATTTTTAACCACATATTTTCCGTCAATCTGTTACTTAAAATGCATTCCCCTCGCCACCCCTCACACCCAAAATGGGGCTCAAACAAGAGTTTAAAATAAAAGTTTTTAATTACAAATAAATTGATTATTTAGACATATGTCCTAATAATGAATAAACTTTGGTAATTAGCACAAAAGTCCCTACTTTTCAAGGTTTTTGTAAAAAATCCCTACCTTTTGTTTTTTGGCAAATTTCATTCTCACCTTTACCTTTAATTGCGGAAAATGTCATTTCGTCCACTCACCGTTAAAATGCTCTGTTAAACCAATTAAAATGAAAATTTTCTTTTCAAAAGGTAAGGGTAACATTGTCCAAATCTATTTTTCTTTGCTTTCCTAGATTTCACTACGATTTATCTGTGAAATTCAAATCATATTTTGTGATGACTCTCTAAATTCAAAACATATTTTTTGCACCATTCCTTTGCTTTCCTATATTTCACTGCAAAGGAATAAAAAGAAATATTGTTCATTCAATATAACATTTGATATAACGAAGTGCTTACAAAGAGAAGTAGTTATGGAGGAATATAAAGGAAAAGAGGCCGCTAATTACAATGGCTTATTTATAATTACTTATTTTTGCCTTTTCTTTTTGTAGATACAAGATGTTTGGGATATTGGAGTTTGTAAGAATAATGTAGAAATATATCCTTTGAATCTTGTGTTATACTTTGCTTAAATGTGCGGTTGTTCGTCCTCATTTTGTGCTTACGAAGGGTGTAAATAAGGGGTAAAGTGAGAAAATCAATTAAAATGTAATTCTGTGAATGGACAATACAAGTTCAATTTCATGCTAAAATGGAAAGAAGACATGTTTATCTTATTCATTTTCTCCATTCATATGTATTGTCCATTCACAGAATTACATTTTAATTGATTTTCTCACTTTACCCCTTATTTACACCCTTCGTAAGCACAAAATGAGGACGAACAACCGCACATTTAAGCAAAGTATAATACAAGATTCAAACGATATATTTCTACATTATTCTTACAAACTCTAATATCCCAAACATCGTGTATCTACAAAAAGAAAATGCAAAAATAAGTAATTATAAATAAGCCATTGTAATTAGTGGTCTCTTTCCCTTAATTTTCCCCCATAATTGCTTCTCTATGTAAGCACTTCGTTATATCAAATGTTATATTGAATGAAAAGTGAAATATGGGAAAGTAAAAGAATGATGCGAAAAATGTGTTTTGAATTCAGAGAATCATTACAAAATATTATTAGAATTTTACAGATAAATTGCAGTAAAATCTGGGAAAGTAAAAAAAAAAAAAAAAAATTGTTTGGACAATCCTTGCCTTTTAAAAAAGAAAATTTTTATTTTAATTGATTTAATAGAGCATTTTAATGATGAGTGGACGGAATGACATTTTTTATAATAAAAGGTAAAAGTGAGGATGAAATTTGTCATAAAACAAAAGAAAGGTACCTTCAAAAGTGGGGACAAGAGCTAATTACCCAATAAACTTTTATCTCCTCCGTATCCAATCCAAATCCGCTAGACCGGGAGTCGGGCCTTTCATGCTATGGTTTATTTCAAGAAAGAAAATCCAAAAATTGGCAGTGTGAGAGACCAGAAAAAACTGGGAATTAAATTTATTTAACCATCGAGTGATCTTACCTCTTAGAGCTCTGTGTACTGTAAGTTCAGTCTTTAATTTCTTTCAAGTTTTATAGAATACCCTTATTTTGATTCAATACATACAATACGAAGAACTTAAACGTTTTGAGTTGCTAAATTTACACTTTTGAAATGTTTTATCTCCTCTGATCATGAGAATCATGTTTAATTACAGTGGTATTTTGAGGTTTTTTTTATTAAATTTCCCTTGAATTTCATAATTTTGGCGGTCAAATTACATTTGCCTTGTTTGAAGGGTGATGCTTTTCTTATTGTAGTTAAATTTGGTTCGTGTGTTTATTGGATTTATATTTCAAGAAAAGTCAAGATATTTAAGTTCATTTTTTTCATGGATTCGAATTCCAGTAATTTTGGTGATTAGCATTGCCTCTGCCTACATTTTGCAAGTGAAAATTAATCAATTTTCTTAGGTGGAAACCGTATCTAGTTTAAGAGTGGTTGACGCTCTTGTATACTGTGTAAATGGGCGAAGAAACTAATCTCTCTTTTAGCTAACATTTATCTTAAACAGTTAAACACGCTTGTTAGTGTGATGAAAGCACTCTGTTAAGAATACGCAATATGAATTGTTTGGAAAACTAGATTTGTGGTATACTCAATATGTTTTGTTGACATCAAGAAAATCTATAACTTACACAGCAAATGTTGATTTGGAATTTGGCCTTAGTTGAATCTTTAAAATTGGGTAGGGAAATGATGGAGGTTGAAAACTATAGAGGAGCAAACAAAAAGAGAAGGACAAAAAAGAAGATAACAAAAGAAAGGAGAGTGGGCGAATAGAGATAGCAGAGGTTTGGGATACCATTCAGTCGCAGGTGTCAGCTTGAAGAGCTTGCAGTGGCCAACATCTCTTCTCCTTTAGCTAACATGACAGTAGGATGAATTAGTGTCCTATTATTGATTATGCGTCAAAAAGCTCTCATATGTTGCATTAAATGTTTGTACTCAGCATTATATATGCCTAGCAGTAGTGATGAGTTCTTTGTTGTCGATAAGAGTGAAATTGCATAGTTGATTAAGTAGGAGCTGAGCTTACTAGCTTTATGAACTTCCCTGTTCTTTTCAAGTTGGTCGATATGACCAAGCAGTCATAACCAACATTTGACTTTGAAGTCTTTCAGATCAGCCTATATTGGACTTTTATTATTGCCCTTTCAGCTCCTTGGAAGTACACCTGTTGACAAGTAATTTATGACTGGATAAAAGCGTGTATATTATGTTTATCGTAACTCAAGCTGTAAATAGATTTCTTAAACGAGAAAATACACTTTGTTTATTCCTCATATCATATGTTTCCAAGTTTTGCATCTCCACATTTATATTGTCATTTGTTTTTTAACGATACGACCGCCGACCATGGCCACATCGCCCTTCTGCCCTGACATGGTCCTTGTGTGATTCCATTTGTACCATTAGCTTATTGTCCACTGGGGGTTTGACCCCAACGTGGATTTATTTCACCTCCCCATTGATTTGAAGTTATCTCTTGAGCAGTGCAAAATGGAAGCAAATGATCGAGCATCCAGTAAAAAGTATGCTGCTGATATATCCTCAATAAGAGAAGCACAAGAGCGCATCAGCTCACTTGTACACAGAACTCCGGTCTTGTCCTCGCAAATTCTAAATTCTATATCTGGAAGAAAGCTACACTTTAAATGTGAATGTTTCCAAAAAGGGTGAGATGCCTACTGTTGATGCGCGGAAGAAAAATGAGTTTAAATTTTCATTCTTTCATGCTAGTTAATCATTTGTCCTTCTATTAAGAGGATTCCAGCATGTAATTAAAGTGTTTCATCTTTTCTTAACACCAGTGGAGCTTTTAAATTCAGAGGGGCCTGCAATGCTGTATTTTCACTTGCCAATGATCAGGCAACTAAAGGTGTTGTAACACACAGCAGGTTCACTTCACTCCAAGCTTATTTGTTCATTATCTTGAGTTCCTCGATTTATTAGTCGAAGTATTTCTGATCCTACACTGCAAAAGCAGTGGTAATCATGCTGCAGCACTTTCTTTGGCTGCAAAACTAAGGGGAATACCTGCATATGTAGTCGTCCCAAAAAATGCTCCAAAATGTAAAGTTGAGAATGTCATACGTTACGGTGGCCAGATTTTCTGGAGTGAGGTGACTATACAATCTAGGGAGGAAATGGCCACAAAGGTTTTGCAAGACACTGGAGCTGTTCTTATTCATCCATTCAATGATGGGCGCATCATAAGGTACCTACCTTAGACTGGGTTCTCTGTTACGATTTCTATATTTTGGAATGTGGATAGCATAGATGAATTTCTTGTTTTTCAAAACTATGTCATATTATTTCCTAGATTAGCGTAGTAATATATAATCAACTTTTTATGTCGATCAGTTGGTACTGTGATCTCATTTACTTGATACTTTTCTTGAATTAGTGAAAATGTGAAATAGGATCCGTGATGTTAAATGAAATAAAGGTCTCGTTTGGTACCCATTTTTTTCAAAATGCATTTTTCTCTCTCTTCTTTTCAACCACATATTCTTTATTAAAATAATATTACACGTAAATAAAAAAATTTCCTTATTTTTCAACCACACATTTCCCATCAATTTGCTATTCAAAAATGAAATTTTTATATAAAAATGTCTCCCAAATGCCCTCAAAGAATCTTTTTCATGATACAAACTCTACTTTTAGTGGACAGGGCACCATATCTCTGGAGCTTCTGGAGCAGGCCCCTCAAATTGACACTATAATTGTTCCAATTAGTGGTATGTTAAACTCTTTCAAGAGTAAATTTGTTAACTACATATCTTCTTGATCCACAGGTTTTGTCTCTCTGTCTTAAAAATGTAGGAGGTGGTTTAATATCAGGGGTGGCATTAGCTGCCAAATCTATTAATCCTGCGATTCGGATATTG